GCAAGCCCTTTTACGTAAGGCGTAATCAGGCCGTTTTAGACTTCGTAATTCGTAGGCAGCCTCCGACAAAAATCAACGTAATTCGTAATTGGACATTAGCGGCAAATCGTAAAGTCGTAATCAGCTCTGAGACTCTAACGTAATTCGTAATAGGCGGACGTAAAATTTTGCGTAATTCGTAATCACCTACCCCCCCCTTGCAGGCCCTCAGGGTAGCACTACGGCAGAACGTCTCATATAAGGTCGTTTTTGCCTATACATGTATAAGGTTAACATTCGGTCTGTAGTTTCCAAATGCTATGTCAGAAAAGATATCATCTGCCATATGAAAAATTTTGATGCAACGTTGACCAAACAGCCAACGAAAACCGTGCAAAAACTTGCGACGGCACAGTACATTCTGCTGAGCACTGAGAGTTGCCCAAGTATGCAGCCATGATTTTCATGACTAAAACCAGTTACTACATTCCGCCTTCTCAAAACAAGGCGGCAACAGGTGAACATCACCGCCTACTCCAAAATTTTGTGCCGCCTAGGCCACACCAATTTAATTTCTTGGTCAACGGATTTTTCTAGAAAAATAATGGAGCGGGCAGGCGAAAAAAAAAAAAATAAAAACAGGCCTAGGCATCATAGTATGGCCCAAAATGGTACGATAGGAGCCATGAAGTCAACACACCAGGCTGGTTCAAAATTTAAACAATGAATTTTGAACTTTTAATGATACCATTGCATTGAAAGATGGAATAACTGTAACAACTAGGATGAAAAGGACTGTTTTCAACTGTTCAGGGCAAAGTATGAGCATTTTGCAGTTGATTCTGGATTTTTATTTTTATTTGCAAATCTGAAAAAAATGAAGCGGCGAATCCGTTAACCAAGAAATTAAATTGGTGTGGCCTTATGTCAATATTTTGTGGATGTGTACAAAATGTAGCTGTATCGATTCATAATATGCTCCATTGCGTTCAATGAGGGAATCAATATTTGTGGTTGAATGAACCAAAAGAAATTTCTTTAACTCCAAAACATTGATAACACTCCAGTGCAACCACATCATTTTTGTGGCGGCTGTTTTTCTGGGGATGTTTCAAAAATATCAATTTGAGTTTTTTAAACGTACCTGGAGAAGGTATAGACCTACGCACACTTATAGGATGAGGGAATTTAACATCCAGCCTCAGCTGCTAACTTAAAGGTAGCAATGTATACAATTATAGCCTTTTTGGTAACAAATGTGTGAGTTAGGTTGCAGGGAGAAGGTGTAATATTAAATATCATAAAGCAATATGTACAATTCTGTTAATGTCTTGGATGTGCAAAGTTTAGTAGAAGTTCCCTTCTTTTATTTTAATGTATGTGCCATATAGATACATAGAACATTATGCTGCTTTAGAGTTAGCAGAATATATTTTGACTTTATTCTTATTTTTGTGAATCAAAGAGAAAAAATGAGAATCAGAGAGAATATTAGTGTTATCTATGCACGTACGTGTACACTACGATTCATGTTTATATAGATATAGATACCATATGTAGAGGTATTTGCCTGACTTATTTTACCTGTATTATTTTTGAGAACCATGAAATACCAGTAGAATATTTCGGGCCAAAACTGAGTAGGATGAGTTCTTTTATCTATTATGTTGTAAAGCTTAAAGCTTCGAATTGAGCTGTCAAGCTGAAAACTTTGAATCAATCTGTTAGGCTAAAAGCTTGGAATTGAGCCGTGCAGCTAAAAGCCAGTATTACTTCTCATAGTTTTGTGTTCAACTTGTTTTTTTTTTCTTTCTTTCTTATTTTCCTTTTTGTACTGTGAGTCTAAAGTCTTGTATGTGATGCCAAGAGGCCAGTCAGTCTCAAAGACATATCTGTTGCCAGTAGTGTCAGTTTTTAACTGTTTGTAACTAACTATTACATACATTGGTACAAGGGAATTATTGAAAACTAGGGCCACACCAATTTAATTTCTTGGTTAACGGATTCGCCCGCTTCATTTTTGTCTGATTTGCAGATAAAAATAAAAATTTAGAATCAACTGCAAAATGATCATATTTTGCCCTGAGCAGTTGAAAACAGTCCTTTTCATCCTAGTTGGTACAGTTATTCCATCTTTCAATGCAATGGTATCATTAAAAGTTCGAAATTCATTGTTTAAATTTTCAACCAGCCTGGTGTGTTGACTTCATGGCTCCTATCGTACCATTTTGGGCCATAATAGGATGCTTAGGCCTATTTTTTTTTTTTTTTCGCCCGCCCGCTCCATTATTTTTCTAGAAAAATCCGTTAACCAAGAAATTAAATTGGTGTGGCCTAAGTCACTTGGTTTAGAGCAACGTGAAGCCTTATGCAATATCTTACAATAAAGTGTGAACTTTTTATTGATTGTGTAAAGTTGCCAAATATGTGACCAACCAAAGTCTGCCAAATTGACTAACGCACAGGAACATTCCATCCGTGCTGTGGGGGTGTAACATTTTCCCCATTTTGCTAAGTGTCAACTTTGTTGTAAATAGTCTTGCCAATCTTGTTATCAGCATAAGTTTAAGTTGTACTTTAAACATAGTTTTCTAACACCAGCAATGAACTATTGTGTTACAGTACATGGTTTTAATGGGATCTAGAATTATCATGCATGTTACAAAGTGAAATATAATCCAGTGCCTTTATGTGGTGTATGGACCAAAAGTGCGAATAGGTGGCATAACGGAAACAGTGTTATTTTAAACGTTCCACTTTTTGTCATAAAAACTTTTTTTTGTTTTGGTGATGGATCTGAAGTAAGTTGAAAAATAAATGATGAAGTTGGCTGGGGACTTTCTGAATCATCTTGTCTTTATTGATTATATATTGTTTATGCAGTTAAATGCACAATCTTATGACATGTCTCTTTCTTACAACCTTGACCACAGTCAACATTATGTTCCCAACTACTTTCCCTGCTACATTTGAGTAGAATATAGCTAATAGAACAGGGATCATTGTGCCTATGAGTAAAGGCACAAAATTTTTGTTTTGCCAAAAAAATACAAATTTTTTTTAAAATGCATTGTACTCTTTCATATACACACAACTTATACATCCATTTACATTTAATAGGCATATATGTACAACATATAATGGCATGCTAACATTATGGAATCTGCATTTCCAGACTATATGATAACAGTTCTGTAGTATGATTTCAAGTGCAAACTTAAACATGGCAAAAACCTCCTTTCCCCAGTCCTACCACATTATTAGATCTAAGTCCCCGAGAAAATAGATTCATTGACAGTATTTGAACTCTATCCCCTTTCTTACACAGACACAGTCGACACCTGGTTTGCAACACCTGAAAAAGGAAATAATGGCAAGAAGAAATTCAGAACAACCTTTTCATCAAGACCATAACATCTATGGTTATAGAAACAACTTGAGATGAAAATCATTTTTGAAATAAATTTGAGTTCCGCGATCTCATACCTTCGCCAAATGATGTTAATCTTTATGGCTGACAAATATAGATTATTCCCCCTGATTGTGCAGATAGGGTCCTCATTTGCATGAATTATATCAGTCTTTATCATATTCTCAACCAAAAGACAGTCTTATATTAACAAAAGGTGCCATTCTATTATTTCCTCATAAATTATGCAAATAAGGTCCTGATTTAAATACATCAAGTTTAATGATGTTTACCTTCACTGAACTTTCAAATACCACAAGTATGAAATTCCAGGCAGTTACCTTTACAGAATTATAACATTTTCTCATTAATTATGCAAATTAAGTCCTCATTTACATAATCAATATCTGCCTGTGCTTCTCTCCTTCTCAATTACCAATCTCACAAGCTTCAATAGTCCTATCATGGAATGCAGCTGATTTATAGAATATCCCCATAAATTATGCAAATCACATCCACATTTGCATAATTACATCAAGCATCACGTAAGCTACCTACATACCAAAAATCACGACGATCCGTCAACTGGTTCTTGAGTTATCCTCTTTTGAATATTTTCAAACAGATAGCCCTGCAGTTCCAGAGCAAGCCGCTAGGGGGCTCAAACTGATGTCACTTCTTCCCCAGCACAAGAGCTACCTACCACCTAAATTTCGTCACCCTAGCATGTCTAGATCCTGAGATATCAAAACCGGAAGTTTAGCTGCAGTACCATAACAAGCCGCTAGGGGGCCCAAAATCTAATCAGTTCGAGCTCTCATCAAGACCTACCCACCTACCAAATATGAAGATAATCCATCTAAGCTTTCTCGAGTTATGCTGTTGACACACACACAGACAGACAGACACACACACGGCCACAAAAACATAACCTTCTCCAATTCTTGGCGAAGGTAATGATATACCAGTACATGGAGAGAATTGAAGCTTACCACACAAGTTGCTGCCTATCCTAATGTGCAGGTATCCATCCAGCCCCCAGCGCGAACCCCAGGAGTTCCTCACTATGAAGTAAGGGACGTCCCCTGAAATGGACATGCTGCAGTGAGGACACCTTGTGAGCATATCACAAACTACAGCTATGTCTGCTGCATTGATTACAATACCTTCATGAAAGCAGTGTGATACCTACCCCCCCCCCCATGAAGCTCATGATAAAAACAGCAGTGTGACACCTAGCATTAATGTTGATAGCCCATAATCAAAACAGCAGTGTGATACCATTACTCTTTGTGTTATAACCCAATGATAAAACAGCAGTATGATACCCAGCCTTGATGTTATAGCCCAATGATAAAAACAGCAGTGTGATACCCACCCTTGATGTTGTAGCCCAATAATTAAAACAGCAGTGTGATACCCACTCTTGATGTTATAGTCCAATAATAAAAACAGCAGTATGATACCCACCCTTGATGTTATAGCCCAATAATAAAAACAGCAGTGTGATACCCACCCTTGATGTTATACCCCAATGATTAAAACAGCAGTGTGATACCCACCCTTTTTGTTATAGCCCAATAATAAAACAGTAGTGTGATACCCACCCTTGATGTTATACCCCAATGATAAAAACAGCAGTGTGATACCCACCCTTAATGTTGTAGCCCTGAATAATAAAAACAGCAGTGTGTTACCCACCCTTGATGTTATAGCGCAATAATAAAACAGCAGTGTGATACCCACCCTTGATGTTGTAGCCCAATAATGAAAACAGCAGTGTGATACCCACCCTTTTTGTTATAGCCCAATAATAAAACAGCAGTGTGATACCCACCCTTGATGTTATAGTCCAATAATAAAAACAGCAGTGTGATACCCACCCTTGATGTTATAGCCCAATGTTAAAAACAGCAGTGTGATACCCACCCTTGATGTTGTAGCCCAATGATAAAAACAGCAGTGTGATACCCACCCTTGATGTTATAGCCCACAATTTGCACGGCGTGGTTGTTGTAGTCGTGCGAGCAGTGGTGCTGAATGATGCCGCCCAGGTAGTCCTGCCAGCTGGTGGCATCCACGATAATCGCCAGCGTACCGTGGTCGTGCAACAGACGCACCATCTCATCCTCATGGTTCTCATAACTTTGATTTAAAAAGAAATGTATCTTCAAGTTGGTCAATGTTTAGTAACAGAAACTTGTTTTCACAATATTACAAAGGGGCCTGCATCAGCCTTTTCATGAGCATAATCAGCTGCTTTTATTCCACAAAATTCAGAGCCAAACTGTTCAAATTTGACATGAAGCATGACCAATACATTCTACACATTCAAAGTGTAATTGGTGTCCAAATTTAGCATGCTAGAATACAATGTAATACATTGTAAACATCGGCTGCCATCCTCAATTGAGCATACATGCAGTTCCATATACTAGTATCAGAACAAATTTGAGAGAAAATAAAGCTATGTTACAACCCTACTAACTTCTTAGATACTAAAGTCTTTAAATTGGAGCAGACAAAAATGTTCAAGGTGCTCCTTACCCTCTGCAGGTGTAGTTAGTGAGGTGAACACTGTCCGTGGTGCTGAAATGGAAATCAACAATCAAAATCACTCATATTTTCAAATCTAAATACAGAATCTTCAAGTTCACTTGGGAATTGCTATTGGAATACCCTGATCTGTGCACGGCTGTGTTCCAGAACCCAGGGCAACAGTGAGTATCATTTTAAGAAATTATCATATAGACGGGTGACGTTGACCAATCAGAAGGCTCCATTCCACATTTCTTATGACGCCGTAATGTCATAAATATCGGGTATTTATTCATCGATCCAAAGCCATACATTAAACAACCCAATGGACCTATACCATTATCACATCACAGCTTGTTTACCGCAATGAATGCCGGTCAATCGACGTTTATATTGTACAGGGGTGCGTAGCGCGGTGTGTGTTTGTGTTGTGTTAGCCTAATATAAGGCTTTTAATACAGTACTACTTTCCTCTAATGTCACAACTAAATCACCCATGCAGCATGTAATGCTGTGTCAACACAACCATACGCAGCAAAAATCAGATATACCTTACTTTGAAAACTTTGAAATGATCTTTATTCTTTAACTGCATGACCGTTCTAGAATGTTCTTTAGAACAGGTAAACAAACTGTGACGTAATAATGGTATAGGTCCATTATCACGTGATACCACATATGACCTCAGGTGACCCAATAGAACACGGCTCTAGTTCTAAAAAATCCAAAAATAACTTTGTTGTGTTCCAATGACCTCTGGTGACTCCCATAAGAACACCTGTTCCCTGCCAGTGACCCAGATAGAAGACATAGAACGTGAAGTCTACCCAGTGACCTCAGGTGACTCCAGATGGAACTATGTTCTATTCAGCATGTGCAACGGAAAATTGTACATTGTGTCACTTACTGCATCAGTTGGATAGGCTATCGTGTAAGCTATATGATAATAGCATTAATGGCCCGCCCTTTCTCGGCGAATATGGTGTGATAAAGCCTTGTCAGTTGCTATAACCACCTCATAAACCCACCTCGTTCGCTGCGCTCACTTGGTGGCTTTAGTTGGTGGTTATAGCAACTGACAAGGCTTTATCACACCATATTCACCTCGGGGCGGGTCATTAACCTTTAATTAAAACTCACTTGGTGTAAAATTTGCATTCTCCGTCCTTCCCTGTGTAGGGATAGTCCTTCTTGGGAACCAGGTTGGCAGTCGTCTGGGAAACAAACATAGAAACAGAGTGACATAGAAATTAGAACTTTGACCATACATTCCCTCTTACTCTGTTATATGTAGAAAAGGCAAACAAAACAGGACTTCAACAAACAAGTTATACCTGGCTGAAGGACTTAGTCTAATTTTCCAGAATCATCACTGCTACATTGTGTCTGGTATACACTGTAGTAGACCTCCTAACCATTCAGGTCAACAGGAGTTACTACATTTGCAATAAGAAAATACAATTCACAGGCTGAATTGCCAGCATCGATACTAGGATACTACAAAATAACTAATAAACTGGTGGATGTACCAACCACTAAGTATCTGATACCAGCCCAGAAAAGAACAAGAAACAGTCATGCCTTTAAATATCAGAGTATCAACCAAGAATTGAGGTATTCAAAAACTCGTATTTCCCCAGGATTATCGTAGACTGGAACTCGTTGCCACCAAGCACAGTTGGGGCATCATCACTAGAAAGCTTTAAACAACTCCTGCGATCAAATGTGCAAAGATTGAGTGTAAGTCGTTCGGTGTGATGTAGCTAGCTGCCGCCGCGCTGCGTGCCTGCGAAGCTGGTGTGTTACGCTGAAGGGCGGTTATACCAGCTATACTAGATACAGATACAGATAGGATATAACAAGGAGGTTAGGATCTAGATTCTTGACTTTTTTTTTCATCTTGAGGTACATGTAAGTTCTGGAAGGATGGATCTCACCTGGTTCATCCATGACAGGGCGTTACAGGTGTCCCCTCCTCTACAGCCATGACTGCCAGCTGTACGGTCACAATCCAACACCTGCAGGAGAGGAACACATTATACATGTATAATTACACATGTAACAATCAGAGATAGCACATTTCACCCCACTACTACCCACATTTCTTTGCATCCTTTTCTTTCAGCACCACAGACAAAAAGAAGTGCCATCTCTACAGTCAAATATTATTGTACACATATATACATATTCCAGCCATCTGGGTTGGAAGTGTGGCAATGCAGCATTTATAGAGAGAATTGGGGAAAAACAAACACACACACACACACACACACACACACACACACACACACACACACACACACATACACACAAAAGCTAAAATAATACCGGGTACTTCACTATCTTTGGGTTGAAGTAATTAAAGATTAGACCTGTTGCACGCTGTATTCCTCTAGGGGGTGTCCCACAATGGACCACTGACTCTCAATTGTCTCCACAATACTGAAGGCCCTGAGAACACAACAGAAATTACTGTAAATTCATTTACTTTCACAGGATTTAATTATCTGATAGGAGGGAAAAGAACTTAGGTGTTCTAACTTTATGGCTGAAACAATCTTAGTACATTATGGTAATATAAATGTAATACATATTGATTGCAAATGGATATTTGCAAATAAAACAACCATGTACATTTCAAGATTTACTATCCTTTTACCCCATCTGCTCAGACCAACCACATTAACACTTCAACTTCATTGAATACATGTAACATTACTTCTTTAAGGGAGAAACACACTAACAAACTCACCAACATCCTCCACACTGTCCCATGTATAATACCAGTAGATGCCAGTCAGCAAGAGCCCATATAAGGGAAGAAAAACATACAATTTCGTAAGCTATTAGTATTCCATCTATACCATCTCATTATGACAAGATTAATATTCTTATTATTTTAATTAGTAACTTGTTCCATTCATGGATAAAATGCAAATTATCATATAGAGCCAGTCTGTGTACATGTGTAAAATGAGTATAGATTTTAATGCTGGTTATTACGTCCATATTATATCATAGTCATTGGGTTAATGAAGAAGAAAGCCCTATCAATTTTTATTTATGCAATTTAATGCACACTTGAACCAAGCAAATGATTTGATAGTGCCTTACGCTGCCCTGGTCCCTGATGGCTGTGACCATCTTGTTGTTGCGCCAGTCCCAAATCGGAGGAACGTCACTCAGATCCTTCAAGAAGTTGTGAGAGTCATACGGAAGCTGCACTGGACCTTTACCCGTGACATTACCAGTGTGAAAACCTCCATCTGTTTTCATCCAGGAAAGGTGCTTTTCTGTGGAAAAGATAAGGCCACGCCAATTTAATTTCTTGGTTAACGGATTTTTCTAGAAAAATAATGGAGCGGGCAGGCGAAAAAAAAATAAAAATAAAAACAGGCCTAGGCATCCTATTATGGCCCAAAATGGTATGATAGGAGCCATGAAGTCAACACACCAGGCTGGTTCAAAATTTAAACAATAAATTTTGAACTTTTAATGATACCACTACATTGAAAGATGGAATAACTGTAACAACTAGGATGAAAATGACTGTTTTCAACTGTTCAGGGCAAAATATGAGCATTTTGCAGTTGATTCTGAATTTTTATTTTTATTTGCAAATCAGAAAAAAATGAAGTGGGCGAATCCGTCAATCAAGAAATAAAATTGGTGTGGCCTAAGGGTAAAATGTTTTGAGAATCTATATGGTTGGCTCAATTTTACCAAAAGCATGTGTAACATTTGGTGTATCATAACAGAAAAACAAAACACCCATTGTCCATCACCCCCTGGTGAAATTATAGTATATTACATTAAAACAAGTCCTTGAACTGTTGTAGAAGTGTAATGAAGACATGACATAGCCATACGGCTTGATGATGGCCCAAGAATGAAAGGCAGCCAGAAGTAATTAATGAAACCAAAGTCAACTAGACCTGAACAGGGCTCAAAATTAAAGGTGGTCCAATGGCCACTGACCACTAAAGTTTAGGCTGGGACAACTAAAAAGACACTTTGGGACATTTTTGGGACAATAGAAAAATAATCAACATCAGAATGTCAGCCCTTCTTTTGTTTATCAGGCACACGTCCCAGCTTTTGGATCCGGAAAAGTCCCCCCAAATTTCATGTCTCCTTTGCAATTACAGTGCGCCTGGGAGTAAACATAAGCGAAATAAAGTTGACTTCAAGTTGAAGTCATACAATAAAGTTTATGTTTATACAAAATTTATGTATTTTGTGTTGTCAACGTTGTATATGGGCTTTGCCTGAGTCAAACAATAAATAAATACTTATACCTATACTCATACCGAAAAACAGGTTGGGACAGTTCATCGTCAATTTGGGACAATAGAAATTTATTTTTGGGACAATTGGAAGAAAAGTTGATTTCGAGGCCTGCAGCTACTGAATCAACAAGACCTGAGTCACATACATCAGACCTACCACGGAATTCTGCGGGTGTGAGGTCAGAGAACTGGTTCACCCCGTACAGAGCGCCACCGTCCGTCCTGTCGTGGTTCAGCTGCTGATGGCGTAACAAACTCTCCTGCATGACATTTATGTTTTTAGACAAATACTACTAGTATACTCGGTAATCCTTTTTGTATGATATTATAGGCCACACCATCTTAATTTTATGGATGACATCCGCACGCACATTGATTTTCGCCTGTTCTCAAAAAAAAAAAAAGAGATCATGTCCACCGAGGCTCTGGCCTGGCTCTAGACCTGGGTAGTCCATGGTAGTTAGTGACAGTACGGAGCCGGCGGTAACTCTGGAGGATGGCACCCAGGCTACCGAAGCTCCACGACTCAAGAACGCAGTACGCACGTACAGTGTTGATTCGTAAATCACGCAAAAAGCCACTATGTGTCGGCTTGCCGTATACGTTGCTATGTACTGCCTCAAATTCACAATACCAGCTTTGTATTCCTGTGGTTAAGTAGCATTTTTCTTTATTTGCCCGCGCGCACTAGTTTGTGGGTCTTCAGAGGATGTCATCCATAAAATTAAGTCGGTGGGGCCTAATACATACAAAAAAGATCACCAAGTCACCACAGCTTAACTACTAGACTTGTCACAGTTTCAGGGTGGTCACTATGTTCTGGCACTTCCATGTTCCCACATATGGGGTAATTATAGGGTTGTAAGAACATAGGTTGAGTTGTCAGGTGTGTATATGTAGCTAGCTATAAGGGTACTGGATCTTATTAAGTGTGTCATAACTAGGGATATGTAGGAATGTAGAGTCTAGAGGTGTTCAACAGAACATAGGTCTGGAGTGTCCGAGCATAGGGTGTCAAAACGTTGGGGTGTCGAAAAATAGGGTTATCGTAAGTCTTGGACGACTCGGGTAATCCTTTTATCATACAAAAAGGATTACCAAAAATATAAGTCGTCCACGGCTACGTAGGGTTATCGAAACATAGGGATTTTGAACAGTGCAAATCGGGCAATTGTATAATGTAACTACTAAAACTAGTAAAAAGCTAAATTTTCAGTTATAACACACCTTCTCCAATTGTTGCTATTGTCGTCCTTGTTTAAGGTAACATCTAATGATAATGGTAACATTTCGCTAGACTACTACTAGTAAGTAGGTGTCGCCGACGCCAAGTGATCTCGTTGCATATGTAACGTAAATCATATAAATCATAATTTGGTAGACCAACCTTGAAGATATGATATCTCCTCCAATACTCCTCCTTGGACTGATATTTCCTCCCAAACTTCACCACGAACTCTTCAAACAGCTGTCTACTGTCAGACGTGGCTGCCATGGCAACCAGTCCCAGGAAAGAGAGAAGAGACAGAAGAAAAACTTCGCCAGTATGACACTTCCGGGTTGGGATCGCTGCCATCTTGGATCGTACCATTTCATTTGACGGGGGTGGTATTTCGCCAGGCAGAAAAAATCAGGCAACGGGGCAGTATGATCTCCGAACTAATAATATATAAACTTATAAATTAGGCAAACCTCTGATCTTTAAAGCATGTAGTTATGCTCTTATATTTTCACTATCATAGAGAAAAGAGGAGCATCCCATGCTAGTGATCATGTACATTATATGATCTTATATGTAACTGTTAAATGTATAACAATTACATACATACGATTCGGATCCTTTGTACTTATGTAAGATTTAGGAGAGTAGAAACAGAAAGACACTCCTGGTCACGGGCCGGGGATCGAACCCACGCCAAACCCGAGGCCAGTTCAGACCCGACGCTCCTACCGAATCGGCTAAAAGATTTAGACCAGCGTGACTGTCACCCTCCCACCTTACTGTTTCAGTGTTTGTCGATACTAGTATTGAGTGTTGTCATAGGCAGCAAGCCAACAGCAAAAAAACACGTAGCTTTAACTCCTCTTTATTCGACAATTTCGAACCGTTGAAGATAAAGTGGCCCTTGGCTTTCAAGCTCAACAATCAGTGATAGTAGTTCTTACAAAGCTCAAGAGTGGTTAGATTTAATATTCCTGTCAATATACATAACGGAATGCACGAGACTTCACGGGGTAACTACAGGTCACCAGCCGTACACGTGGCGCGGGAAACGCCGGGGATTTTCCCGCCAGTGACTCCTACGTCACAGACTTCTTCAGCCAAGGCCCTGTGCCAAGGTCTTGGATGCCCAAGCAGATATGTGTGGTGCTGGCTCGTTTGAAAATGCCGAATTACGAATATATGCTTCTAATTGTAGTATATACAAGAAAGGTTGCGTGCTTTTAATGTTTTTTTTTGGGGGGGGGGGGGGTTCAGTAGTATTAGTGTAACGTTGCACGTAACGTCATGTGGTTCTAAAAGCATCCAATACTATGTAATTTCAGGATGGCAAAATAAATTTTTAAGATTATTCGGAGGAAAACTGCCTGATATGGACATTCATAACACTACTTCTTAGCACATTTTCGCCATCATGTCATACTTGAAGCATTTGATATAGCCAAAGAACATGCAATTGGCCAATATCTGTACTCTGTTCACATGTAACACGTATAACGTAATATCCGGTACTATATATATATTCTCGTAGCTGCAGGCCTAGGTATACGTATACGTGGCGGTAGCTAGCTGATTATCAAACCTCCATGTAACGATCTGTCACATCTAACACTTGTAAATCGGACGTCCTTCCTTCCGCCGAACTGGAAGAAGTTTTCATTTAAAGCCACATCCTTCACCACATTAACCACAACCTCCTTCGCCTTACTTGAGGATGACTGTACCCTAGCCTTTTTACAGTAATGTTAGATTTTCGCCACTAACATAAAACTCATGGTCGAAGTCCATCATATGTCTCAAAGAGAGTTCAAGTGATAAGTTCTTGAAAAGCTCAAGAGTTGTTAGATATAATATTCCTGTCAATATACATAACGGAATGTTATGAATGAATGTTATGAGGTGGTTATAGCAACTGCCAATCCTTTATCACACCATATTCACCGAGAAAGGGCGGGCCATTAACGCTATTATCATGTAGATTACAGAGTTCAACTGGCCATTGTGTCACTTCCGCTTCCAGGGGATTGTTAAAATAACCCCATACCTGAGTTTACACATAGAAGGTGTGTCGGTGCGTATCATAGTGTCGTCAGTTAAGTGTCGTGACACTTATTATAGACATAATATTGTCGTGAGTTACGCCCCCGTTTTTTTTTAATCTTACAACTACTGGCATTGAGTACTGAATGTACCATCAATACTATGCGTTTTGGAGGTCACGAGTTCAAATCCCAGGGTCATAGAAAAGACGTGAAAAATGGTACATACTGACTCAGAAGACCTGTATCTATCTATATACCTTGTTGACAGTGTCAGCTCCCTACATGTTAAGTAACTATACATGATATAAACACCTGACTTATCTTCAAGCAGATGTTAGGAGGTAACAACAACAGTTTGAGAAAAATTGAGTGCGTGTAGTATTACCTTGCTTCTTAACGAATTCCATGCTCTACGTGCCTGTTTTATTGTTTGTTTGTTTGTTTGTTTGTTTGTTTGTTTATTTCCTTACTTGCTTTATTTGCACGGTGATAATATTTTGTAAAGAAAAAGCATCACTTCGTACTAACCTAGCGAAACCAGCCCTACATCTGCTTGGAGATGAAGGCCTTTCAAAAACACGCCCACTTCCATATAAGGCTATGGGGTCATGGAACATTTCGCGCGGTGAGACTTCCGCTTTCCTGCCGCATGGTTTCTATCTTTCGTGACGTAGAACGTCCGGGGGCGAAATGATGTCATGGATTTTCCCCGAATAAACGAAAAGGGAATTCCCAATGTTCTCACACATAAAGGGGGGTAAAGCCCGGCAAGGTAGCCAGAGTTGAGACACCAACGCGAACAGAACAGTCGAAGTCTTACATTGTACGTGAAACCGGCCGAAACAACACACAAGGCAACATGGGGAAGACTTCGTCTAAATGCTGCATGTGCTGCTGCTGTGGCAGTTACACAATAGAGCCTGATGTAAGTACATGTATATTATATGAATAGAGGTTTCAGAAGACCGCCGGACTCTCTTAAAGGTTCTTGAGGTATCATAGTTTAGTGCTGCTTTAAGCGTTGTAGTTAGTAACCGTTACTTTACTATACTGTGAAGTTGAACAGCTTTCTGGCCTTGTTCCAAGTCGTATAAAAGAGTTACCACACTGATGGCTTGTTATTTTATCATGAATGTTAGTATTGAATTTTAAAAAGAATACAGCGAGTGAAACTCACGCCTGTGCTTTTGGACAGTAGCCATGCTTATCGGGTATACCATTGTGAACTCACCGGTATTTCTTTGTTATACCAAGGACATTTTACATATACAGGTGTTGGGAGTGTTGTGTGCCCGCTCGCTCGGGACAAAAGCGTACGATATATACTTTTTACACCAAATTAGAAAGGACCGCTAGAAAGATACTAAGTAGGCAATCAGGAAAGGTCTTATGTTTAGCTATACTTATAGGAGCCAGCTAGGGTCGGTAAAAAACATAAAAGGCTTAAGTGGAGAATGGTTACCAAGCTGGTTGGTTTTGTTTGTTTGTTTGTTTGTTGATAGTATTGGGGGATTTTCTGGCCCGAGATGGTCGTTGTAGGGAGGCTGACCAGGGAGAAGTTCAACTTTCAAGCAGATGTTGGGATAGCTGACATTACGCTTTGTCGGACTTTTCAGTCAGACTATCGCCAGGATAAGAAATTTGACATGCTGTCCGTCCGTTCTTACCCTACAGTTCCCGGAGCTGCAGCCCATGTACCCGGACGTGATCGACCCGATCACCGTGGTGTGTGTGAGTTTCTCCCCGGGCGGCATCCCGAGGGACATCGGGACCTGCATCTACGGCTCCCGCCACACCTTCACCCGCGTCACGGCGGGAGGCCTGGCCCATCGAGCCGGCGTCAGGTATGTGGACTTTCCCCCTTATCTCAAATCGTTCAAACAGTTTGCAACCATAATAGTAGGTAGCCTGGTTACCAAACCTATTATAGCTCCCGAGTCCTACATCCTCTCCTATTTGCGGAGAGGATGTAGGACTCGGGAGCTATAATAGGTTTGGTAACCAGGCTAAATGGTAGGGACATTATCATTAGATAGCTTTAAACAATGTCTAGAGTTAGATGTTAAAGGGTTAGGTGTAACAAGTCGATCGGTGTAATGTAGCCAGCTGCCGCCGCGCCGCGTGCCTGCGACACTGGTGTGTTACTCCGAAAGGCGGCCATACCGCTATACAGATACAATTAATGTCAGCTCTCTTGTCATAAATAAATTACCAAAATGGACGCGTTCTGTATGTCATTTCCCCATTTCTTTCCTGCGTTGCGTTGAAGTAAACATGTAGTTCTCTTTTCTGTTCTCACATTTGTCAATTAAAACTTTTTATACGAAGCAATTGTCAGCGGTGGGGGTGGTGAACTTCACAATATGTCTGCCCATATAATAGCTTTTAAACATTTTATAGACGGAATCGTCGTAAACTCGGCAGCTAGCTAGCTTGTAATATTGTGGGGATGACATTGCTAAAGGCGCTGTCAGTCTAAGTACAATGTAGTTGCAAATTGAGAGATGCAATGATGTAATAGTACCCCGGAGGGGGTATGACTAAGGCTGCGCAACAGGTGGTCAGACACGGCTCGGGTATTCTAAATTTATCTCAGAAGCATTCTTGAAAATGATATGTTCAAATCGCAGGTCAGTGCATTTTAATCCCCATGCAAGAACTGAGGAAAGTATCATAATGTTCAACCTGATTGCCCTTCAGTCGACTTCTAGAGGAACGTGTCTAGTGGGCGATAAATGCTAATAATTAACCTCAAAACGTAGACCGGAAAAAGGGGAACTCGCCTTGTTACGTTTGAATAAACAAACGCCGGCTTTACAGAGTTCCAAAGTCCGCGATATGCGATTTGGGCGCGCGTGTGTGGGTGGGTCGGGAATTTAAGGAAGGAAGTCCCCGTTTCTGTTGTGCCCCGTCGTTATGGAGTACATTTTGTGATAATATCCTACTCTCGAGCTCCAAGCAGAGGTTTGGGTTTGGGTTTTTTTTAGCTTGTTTTTAGGCTTGTTTTATCGGGGTCTCTCTTTTGCATTCAGTGCAAAAGAGAAACCCCGATAAAAAAGCCTAAAAACACGCTACAAATACCCCCAAAACCCAAACCTCTGCTTGGAGAGTAATAATATCCAAGCATTCTGTGGAACGTTCTTTAAAAATGGACTAAAGGTTATAGAAAACTACTACAATACGTTGGGATGTATCCACATTTCTGAACAAGTCGGAGAAGATTTGTAAAAATTGTTCCTCAAATGCAGGGGAAGACGAAAACCATTTCATCTCTAATTGTCCATTCTATAATGATATCAGAGACCAATTGTTTATCACCGTGTCCAAAATACACCATTTACTTGCCAGCTATCCCTCACCGAGAGAAAACAAAAACGAACATATCACTGAGACCAAGAAAAAAGTCAAACCCACCAAAACTAGTACCACGTATGTTGTACTTTTCACATAGTTTCTCATATCATTGTCTACTTTTTCATACATGTTGTTTGTACATGTATTTGAAATTAACCGTCTGGCATGTTGGAACCGACCTACAGAACATCCACATTGGTGGAGTATTTACTTAGTATATGATATTATTTCCTTACCAGAGAGTCATATGTATTTTGTTATAGTTAAAAACAATACATAACGTCACACAGGTGACGTTTAGTAGGCGTAACCACGTTTCGAACTATTTATACAGGCAATCGTTATCATTTCATTCAGTCATTTCATGATGTCATGATCAAAAAAAGTACATAACGTCAATAGATAATTACTGCACTTAATTACTGCACTCTAGAAGCCAACTTGTACTAGGCACGACATCACTTTTTCTTTTTCCTACTAAATTAAAAGCAAAACATAACGTCAATAGATAATGAGTGCATCCAAGAAGCCAACTTGTACTAGGCACGACATCACTTTTTCCTGCTAAGGCCACACCAACTTAATTTTATGGATGACATCCGCGCGCGCATTGATTTTCGTCTGTTCTCAAAAAAAAAAAAAGGATCACGTCATCCGAGGCTCTGGCCTGGATAGTCTATGGTAGCTTGCTATATAGCGACAGTACGGAGCCTGTGGTAACTCTGAAGGATGGCACCCAGGCTACCAAAGCTCCACGACTCAAGACCTCAGTACATACGTACAGTGCCGATTCATAAATCCGAAAAAAACAGCATGTGCCGGCTTGTCGTATACGTCGCTATGTTCTGCCGCAAATTCACAATACCAGCTTTGCCTTTGTATTTTTGTGGTTTAGTAGCATTTTTATTTTTGGCCGGATTTTTATTTTATTCGCCCGCGCGCACTAGTTTGGGGGTCTTCAGAGGATGTCATCCATAAAATTAAGACGGTGTGGCCTAACTTAAAAGCAAAAGATAACGTCAATAGATAATGAGTGCATCCAAGAAGCTAATTTGTACTAGGCACGGCCTTTTCAATGTGTGGTGCCCTGAGGCCGTTTCCATGGAAATGACGTCACTTGGCGCGCTTTGTTTTTTGGTGGGACTTCCCTCTCAACTTTTGGTGACTCACCGGCGTGTGACTAGAGTACATACTAGTTGATTTAATTTGTTTCGTTGTCAATTATTTACAATACACGTGTGTAAAAAGAGGGCATAGAAACAATTGAATTTTAGGAGAACCCACTCGATAAACCCTTAGGTTTCTTGGGTTCTCCCGCACATTTGGTTGTACATATTCATTACATACTGTTTTATTTTTATGTGCAAACTGAAATAAACAAAAGAATACTACACCTACTAACTCTCTGTGAGGAACTCAGTCAACCTGAAACTTTCGGTAAAGATTATCCAACAGCAAATAGCAGGGTTCGAAATACTGGGTGCACTAATTGCACCGAAATTTAGAGCTGTGGACCAAGTTTTTTTCTGTGTGTGCACCGGTGAACTCAAATATTTTTGTAGGTTAACACATGTAAAGATGTTAATGTATAGCAGTATATAGCATATTCTTCACATCTAGTCAAATCACTGTTGTAGTACTCTTCTTCAGTAATAAAATATAATATATATAAGTAGTTTTTTTTCCGACATTCTATATTTCATCCTATAGGGTGTACCCAAAAGTTCAGACATCCCAACATGAAAGGAAACTGTGCTTAATAAAAAAATCGGCAATATCAAAATGTCAACAACGTACGGATTCGGAGCTTGCTACCGCAGCTATAACCAAATAAGGTAAAGAAAAATCTGTGAGGAACTGTTGATTATTATACTTAGTTCCTCTTCTCGTTCCTAAATTTCCCCATTTCTCACGGCAAGTTTCGTTGTTGAGGTTTCAGGCAAATACTCCGAGTGAGACATGTGACCCGTACATGTACAACACACTCAAGACAATAGAAAGAAAGCAGAAGTAGTCATGGGGTGCATGTGCACCTTAGTGCACCGAAATTTAGAGCTGTGAACCAATTGCAAGTTTTTTTCTGTGCGTGCACCGGTGAACTCAAATATTTTTGTAGGTTAACACATATAAAGATGTTAATGTATAGCAGTATATAGCATATTCTTCACATCTAGGTGTTAGAAATATAACAAAATCACTGTTGTAGTATTCTTCTTCAGTAATGAAATATAAGTAGTTTTTTCCGACATTCTATATTTCATCTTATACTGTATGGTGTACCCAAAAGTTCAGACATCCCAACATAAAAGGAAACTGTGCTTAATAAAACAAAATCGGCAATATCAAAATGTCAACAACGTACGGATTCGGAGCTTGCTACCACAGCTATAACCAAATAAGGTAAAGAAAAATCTGTGAGGAACTATAATACTTAGTTCCTCTTCTCGTTCCTAAATTTCCCCATTTCTCACGGCAAGTTTCGTTGTTGAGGTTTCAGGCAAATACTTAGAGTGAGACATGTGACCCGTACATGTACAACACACTCAAGACAATAGAAAGAAAGCAGAAGTAGTCATGGGGTGCATGTGCACCTTAGTGCACCGAAATTTAGAGCTGTGGACCAAGTTTTTTTCTGTGTGTGCACCGGTGAACTCAAATATTTTTGTAGGTTAACACATGTAAAGATGTTAATGTATAGCAGTATACAGCATATTATTAACATCTAAGTGTTATAAATATAACAAAATCACTGTTGTAGTACTCTTCTTCAGTAATGAAATATGAGTATTTTTTCCGACATTCTTTATTTCATCTTATGGTGTACCCAAAAGTTCAAACATCCCAACATAAAAGGAAACTGTGCTTAATAAAAAAAAATCGGCAATATCAAAATGTCAACAACGTACGGATTCGGAGCTTGCTACCGCAGCTATAACCAAATAAGGTAAAGAAAAATCTGTGAGGAACTGTTGATAACACTTAGTTCCTCTTCTCGTTCCTAAATTTCCCCATTTCTCACGGCAAGTTTCGTTGTTGAGATTTCCGGCAAATACCCCGAGTGAGACATGTGACCCGTACATGTACAACACACCTGTCCAAACAATAGAAAGAAAGCAGAAGTAGTCATGGGAGAGGGGTCCCATCCAGGGGTGTTGTTTTACTTCTTGTCTGCGTTGTATATATAATATAAACATGACCTGGAACAGGAACATATATAGTTGTTTATTGCAAATTCATGCCCGAGGGCTAATTGCATACATTGACAAGAAAAATGTGGTGATATAAGACTATTTGCTAACATGAACTTCTACGTGTACGATATACTTATCGAACCTACTATCTCTACTTAAGGTATACATACAGGATAAAAAAGTAAATATGCAATATGTGAACAAGTAATAGGAACAAGGTAACTGCTATTCAAATCTATTCTATTCTATCAAACTATTCAACATAAAGCCAACACCTGACTATCGTTGCGCTTGAACTTCTAGAAATACATTTTCAAATGCATATGAAACCAGCGTAAACAGTTCAAGCAACGGTTGTGCTGCCGAGTGCCGAGTGGTCCGGTCAAAATCTAATATGTTCTATATACAAAGCTGGTGTGTTACGCCGAAAGGCGGTTATACCGGCTATACAGATACAGAAGCTGGTGTGTTACGCCGAAGGGCGGTTAATACCGGCTATACAGATACAGAAAGCTGGTGTGTTACGCCGAAAGGCGGTTATACCGGCTATACAGATACAGAAGCTGGTGTGTTACGCCGAAAGGCGGTTATACCGGCTATACAGATACAGAAGCTGGTGTGTTACGCCGAAAGGCGGTTATACCGGCTATACAGATACAGAAGCTGGTGTGTTACGCCGAAAGGCGGTTATACCGGCTAGACAGATACAGATACAAAGATATACAAGGCTAGTAATCCAACTGACATACCGAATATATCGTGACCATTGATATCCATTTACATCATCTTGAGATATATTTTGCTTTGCATGATGAAACACGTACACACACACGCACAGAGATAGAGAGAGAGAGAGAAAGAAAAAAAAAGAAAAAGAAAGGGAGAAAGGAAGAAAGAAAGAAAGAAAGAAAGAGATACAGAGAGAGATACAGATATATATATATATATAGAGAGAGATAAACACACACACACACACTTGAACACACAGGCAAGTGCACACGAAGAGAGCTAGAAACGTGCAGGTTTTGAATGTTATTAATTCACTTACTGCTATACAAGCGTCTAACAAACCTTGTTTCTGTTCCCGTACAGGGAAGGAGACCAGTTGGTTAATGTGAATGGAGTCAACGTGGAGGGGCTGCGGCATGGACAAGTCATCAATATGTTTGCCGGCATTGGGGACGCCGTCAAGATGGTAAGTTTATAATCATTTCAAGGCGGCACAACACAGTTTTAGCCCTATGGGGATTTCTATAGTTAAGGACCCCAAAGTGACTCACTTCGACTCACTGAAAATCATAGTAGAGTGCACAAGCAAGGTTCAGAATTTTGATGTTTAATTTCAGGGTATGGGGTACAAAATATGTGAAAATGAGCTTAGATTTGCCGGCTAGTTCTCTTCTCACGCCCTCTGTTATTAGCGCCACTGCGGAGGTCATGGAACTGCAGCCGACGCACAGTACTAGGCGGGACAAGTATCCAAGCGCAAATCTACGCCGATTAAACACGCAACATAATTCAACTTTTACAGTCTCAAAACTGACGTATTCCTCTAACATTTACCACAGGTTCTATCTCGATGTCATGCACAGAACAATCTCTGCACCCTTCTCTAGTATTGTGCAGCACTAAGTTTGTGCCCGGACTACTTTTATAAATACTGTGTTGTGCGGCCCTATTTCCCAAACTTACCCCCCCCCCCCCACACACACACACTATGTTCCTCTTCACAGTACAATACAAATCTTAGTACTATCTTGAAAGTTCATTTGTGTTGGTAGAAATCATTATGAAGCAAGTGTAAACTGTAATTTCCAACACAACAAAATGGACTCACCCAAATTTTTGACTGTACAACTCCAGTCTTTGTCAAGGAATAAACAATCCACCGCTTCCGTGACGTCACGCAGATAACACACGTGACTCCGTGAGCAGTGGATCATAGGTTGCAGAAAATCTGTGGCGCCCCCCGTCTCTGTCGAGGGATGGTTGTAATGCCCTGATGTACTGGCCTCTGAGGGATTAAAGAGGCCATCTACATCAGGGCGCAACTAAAGGTTCGGACCTCCACCGCAAGAGACCCCTAAACCCCTACACATTCTTCTTTAAACTCCGAATTAGTTGCCACAAATTACACATCGAAACCGGTAGACATAACCGCACTCCCCTAGAACAACGAATATTTCGGTACTGTGATCTAGGAAGAATCGAAGATGAGAAACATTTTGTAACAGAATGTAAACTATACAACAAAGAGAGAGCAGACCTTTACAATCTGATACAATCTATGTTCCCCTTCTTTATACATCTAAGCTGTACAGATAAATTTATATTTCTAATGAGCTTAGACAAACCTTCTGTATTGAAATATATCTGTTCTTACATTTTTGCCATTACTAAGAAACGAGAAGAAACCGAATTTACTTGATTTTAGCTAATTGACGATGTATATATGTAACGTTATCTATATTCCATCCTTTTTTGTGACCTGTACTTAATCCAGTGGGTATGTGTGTACAATAAAGGTCTTCATTCATTCATTCTTCTTTAATTAGTACACGCTGTAGCTTCAATGATGGTTCGAAAAAAAATAGCTAGCTAACCCGTGTGATGTTTTCTCGTGCAGGAAATGCGCCGACCGTCCGGAGGAAGCAACACCAGCTCACAGTCCATGTCTGACGCCGAAATCATCACAGCGCAACTAAGGATAGGGGACATCGATGGTGAGTAGTAAAAAAATGCATTTATTTTTCTTCAATCGCGTCTTCTTGAGTGGGAAATTTTGTCACCAAATTTCTTTTGTTTCCTATGTTTACGTATATGTGTTTTCGAAGGTATATTTGCCTTACTCACTATAAAATCTTACTCTTAATAACCTACACCGTCCGCCATGCTGGTGTCCCAATTTGCATAGAAATGAATCGTACTTGCAGTGTAAATGGCTTCTTTTTTGTCTAGTTTGAAACACTAACGTCAAATGGTTGCCGCTGAATTTGAGGGTGCCCTCTATAAAATGATTGAGATTGAAATCGAATAACGACACAAATATGGCGGCAGACGTATTTATGGCGTCATGAAAAGTCTTTATGCATGACTTATGGTTCCCAATCCCCCTGTGCTGCAGTGGTCACGCCTGTAGAGGATGAGGACGATGTGCAGTCACCCCGCATAACGCTGGAGTACCACCAGCTGCAGCGGAACCAGCTACACCACCAGTACGGCTCCAGAACGGGCGTGCTGCTGCCGACCAGCAGCGGGGGAAGGGCCGTCAAGGGACGGCTTACCTCCTCCAACAGGTCTAACGGTGAGTCACAGCCACAAATTTGGTTTATCTTCGGTCTGCTCTCCGGTTCTATTCCGGTATGCAGGATTTTGATTTGGAGCCATGTTCGATCACAGGGTACTTAGTATATAATTAGTAAGCACATGAAGATGCTTCCACCACAGATAATCCGAATACCCACCAACGTTTAAAGTGGTCACGAATTAAGCGATTCAGATTATGAGCAAATGAAAATCCTGAGGACACAGGGCACTTAGTACATGTAGCTAGCTGCGTTAAGAATATGCAAAGATTGAAACCCCTTCGCGTTACGTTCGGAACACCTAATTCCATGACATGATTTATTGCTGGTCTATCTATCCGATTTAGGATAGTGTAAATAACATAGGATGTGCGATCTCCTAGCTGTTTTATATTCCCTACGTACTGTATCGCTGACTGAAGCCTCCTTCTTTCCTCACAGCCACCATAGCCGTCCACAGCTTCTTTAGCGTCCCTCCGCTGGGCGGAACGTACGTCATCTTAGAGTTCGAGAAAAGGAACAAGTTCTTCACCTGTCTAACAGGGGGAAGAGTCAGAATCCAGGTGGGTACGAGAAAAACAGATGAAATCCATCAATTTTTCCGAATTTTTTCCAGCACATCATCACACATAAACGGCACATCATCTTATACATATATGAGGGCCTGCAAGGGGGGGGGGGTAGTGATTACGAATTACGTAAAATTTTCGCCGCCTATTACGAATTACGTTAAAGTCTCAGAGCTGATTACGACTTTACGATTTGTGGCTAATGTCCTATTACGAATTACGTTGATTTTTGCGGAGGCTGCCTACGAATTACGAAGTCTAAAATGGCCTGATTACGCCTTACGAAAAAGGGCTTGCAGGCCCTCATATATTTAGTAATTACAAATGCAAAGTAAAGTGTCTGTCTAGACAAGTTGTTAATATTATAATGTTACATGTTATTCACAAATCATGGTGTTATAGACTTCACTTTATAGGTTTGTTTTTATACAGATATCAAACAACAAAATATAAATTAATTACGTTACATTGATCACACCCACACAACGCGGTCACATGAAATTGAAGTCTGCCTGTACTGATCATGTTTATGGTCCGAAGATGTTTACCTGTTTTTGTTTTTTTTCCAGAGTGGAAGCGCCGTGGAGAACATCACCTCTCCAGACGACGCCCGTGTGTTCGTCATGAGGCCTAAAGGCACTGACCTCATGTTCGAGTCCACCAAGTTCCCGGGCACGTTCCTGACCATCCACAGAGGTAATCTACAGCTGAGGAACAGTGGGAGCACCATTGAAAGCCAATACTTCCGCCTGCACAGCATTTGAGCACCAGGTGGGGAGCACGTGATAAGCGCGTGATGAGCACGTGAATGACATGTCCAAGGGCACGTGAACAGCATGAAGGACACGTGAACAGCAAGTTCAAATGTGAGAAGATGTGACAGATACATGTACAAGTATGTCATTGATGTGTGTTAGTGTTAAAGTCTGTAACTAGAGTAAAGCTCTGAAAACTGTACATACAACACTTGCTGTGCCTATTAGACCAAAATGTTTATACGCATCTGCTAGCTTCATTCAATGCATACTTTATTCAGTGCATACTTTCCATTTAAACCGCTAAGGTGTCCTAATGTTGCATTATAAATGCACGTCTTTGCACATCTTTGCAAACCCTGCCGCTTCGTGGTGGTAGGCGGGGTCTACAAATATTCGCCATAGATTGGCGGATTGATATAACCGTGCACGTTTTTGTGCACCCACGTTTATTCTACTGAAGGAATCTCGGAAGGCAAGGGTAACATGACGTCATATCCGGTGTGCCATTGTCGATTTGGACGCTCCCGAAAGAAATATGGGAAGATGAGTATAAAACAAAATACATACTTCAACATAGAAAGAGTCTAAAAGTTAGATGGCAAATTCCGTACTTTTTTAATGACAACGTGTGACAAAATGTTCTCAAAAAACATATTTCAGGTACATTTCTTGCAAACACGTTGTAATTCTTTTTGAAATTGTCACTTTTTTCAGAAGCTTCATCAAAGACATTAAGACATGTAACTAACTCACACTATCATTCTAAAAGTTTTCCTCAAGCAACACATGCACACCGGAAGTATTTGACAAGATAACCTTTGCTTCCTCCTTGGTGAACGAAATGTCTTTTCTTGACGCTTCGTGGTAGATCTCTGTTTTAAGAGTGAATCTTTTCCTTAAACCAATATTATCAAGGTATACTTATGGTCATCTATATATACATGTATATGCCATAGGAAAGTTCTGTATTAAATTAGCATAGTTTTCCCCCTTTATTATATTATAATAGCAGCCTATGTAAATTAGTAGGTGTAAGGAGGATATAACCATCGATGGAGTATATAATGTAGTGCAAGTTTTTGTGTGATTGATATTTTAGGTTTGTACAGTTATGCAACTGTAGACATCACATCTATGTTCCAACATGATATTCAATATTTCATATATTATATACATTATACATATTATTTGTAATTCAGCACCTGCCTTTTTCATGATTTTGCAATAAACTGATTTTATCATGTAAATCTGTTCATTCTCTCGTCATTTTTAATGATTTTCAAACAATAATAACATAAAGTAATTACATACGATATTTACGTTCAAGACAGATACACAACATAAAAGTCTTGTTACGTGAAATCTTTCTGATAACTTTATTTAATCTGTAATAGTCTTAAATCTTCATACTTTAGAGAAATAACGTGTGAGTAATATAGATATCATTGACATTCTACTGTAACAGAGTGTATTAAAACAGTACGAAAAGAAACAAAACATATACATTAAACAAAAAAATATGTAAAACCTTGCCAAGCCAATATCTCAATAACAATCGGTATGAATGATTCTATTGACGGTATAAATTCAAATATACATTAATACACATAACCCACAATAACATAATATACATACACATATTCTTACATACACATGATTACTAGGTGGTCTTCTGTTGGCTTCTTGCATAGCCTGACTAAATCTGCGCTCCTAGCGGCCGGCCCGGTATTACACCAGCTGGTGTAATACCGGGCCGGCCGCTAGGAGCGCAGATTTAGACAGGCTAGCTTCTTGCATAGGGAATAGCTTTTACATGTAGCAACCCTTGCGCGTCATTCAGTCGTTATCAATATATTGTTATACTTCTCTATGATACAGACATTTTCTATAAATCTATATAGTCTATACATTTTACAGGTGCATGACGATGTTAGGGATTTGCACATTAGGCCATGTTGATTTGATTATATGGATGACATCCGCGCGCGCATGAATTTTCGGCCGTTTCCAAAAAAAAAAAAAGTTTTCAACCATACTATAAATCATACAAAACAGTTGCAAAATGAGCAAAAATATACCATAAGTTACAAAAAAAATTAATAAAAACTATACCAATGTCGTAGAATGCCAAAATCAAACGAAAAAAGACGAAATTGTAAAGAAATGAACTTGAAGACTAGATCATTCGCCAAACCATATTCTGTGCCATTTGCTCAACCCTCATGACCACGTAGATTTCATAATGAAAATAACTTTTTTTTTTGCAAAACTTTTTTTTTTATTTGCACGCGCGCATCAGTTTTGGGGCTCCCGGAGGATGTCATCCATATAATCAAATCAACATGGCCTTACCTTATGATTGCATGGCCAAGCTAGAGGGGGAGAGGGGGTATTTTAGCATGGTGTAATCTTTTATTTACCATTGTTTTAAGAGCAGCTTTTTAGTAGCCCTTCTTTCAACTTCGATACTCACTCATTCCTGTATGTACAACAGGCAGCAAATATTCTGACACTACTGTGATTCTCACGTGAACATTTTAGTCTGTCTTGCATCGACGATAAAGCATTGTGCCAGGGACGGGGGGCGATACAAACTTCCTGGCACATTTCACCTGATACTTGAGTCACGTGCTCGTATGAGAGGCCCCCTATTTCTCTATTTATCCCTTGACATCCATTTTTCCTTGCTTCGTAGCTCTATCATTTCAGTTGACGATCTAGTTATGTAATTACGTCTTTTCCTAGAGCTTAAACAAGTTGTCTAAAATGTTTCTAATCCCACTTATTATGTTTACCTTCGCAGAAGGAAAACATATTGTTTTGCTCTGTTTCTTCTTCCTCTTCTTCTTCCTCTTCTCCAGAGAAATAAGGTCAATGACCTGAACCAGACGTCTGCAACCATTAGTAACTAGTGTTGGGTTACATCATGTTGCAAGTTTATAGTAGGACGGATTTAGACTCCTGTCACCATATATATGAATGTGTTTGAGTAAGAATTAACAGAGCATACAATATGCGAAGGTAAACATTATGCATCTGCTTTGAAAATATTACCTTTCTAGTATTGCTTATGTATTATATTGCTAGTGAAATTGAACTATAGTCTAGTACGCTTTGCTTTATATAAACATGATGGCTCAGTTGAGGTAAGCATGTACAACTTTGAAGAACATTTCAGAACATTTTTTCCTGCGCGCTTCTTAATGCTTCAAGAGTAATATCCGTCCCTAGAAGCCCCCTTTATATGTTAGGACATTACAGCTCCGTGTATAACTGCGTCTGGTACAGCTGTGATGAGGCCGGTTGGTAAGACGGGGCCGGTGGATTACCTCCACCTTCAAACCGCACATTCCGCTGCTCGGAAAGTAGTTCCCGCATAACCGAGTACAGATCACTCCGCAGACTCGAGGTGATCTCTCGCCGTAACAGGTCGATTTCCTCCAAACCTGCAGATGCAGAATAATTGCCGTAAATCAGTTGTACCATCGCGGACATTTTATGACATGTAGCCTCAAACGCTTATTTAGGCCACAGCAAGTAATTTTTATGGATGACATCAGCGCGCGCATTAATTTTCGCCTGATTTTAGAAAAAAAAACAAGAAATTTTGTTGCCTTCTGACAGTGGTCAACATGCCAAAAATGAGCAAAGACGTCTGTTCCCATGCCGGAAGGTGGATGGCAGATAACTATGAAGAGAGGGGACAAGAAAATGCTCTAATTTAATGTTTTGTTTCTTACTTTGATGCAACGATATGTGATGCTGGCTGTGTATATGTGATGTTCCCACTGATTAAAAATCATTTCTACCATGATACTAAAATGTAGGAACCTTGTATTTTTCGGCCCGCCTTGTTTTTTTTCGCCCGCTCGCATTAGATTTGGAGTCTGCGGAGGATGTCATCCATAAAATTTACTTGCTGTGGCCTTATGGCAGCTGAAAGAATCTACTGATCATTTGTAATGGCTTACAGGCTGGACACATAGAAAGTGTCACTTTAACTAAGGTTAAAGTGGCACGACGTAGAATAGCGTTTCCTTGCCAACGTTTCTGTAACTATCTGCTTAATGGCCGTAGTTTTCAGCCTCTACTTCCCCTTGCTGCTTCGTGGTGTGGCAGTAAGGATACGGTCGTAAACGTGACTGAATACTAGCAGTACCAAAACAACAACCAAACCTATTGCATCAACCAGATAAATATCTAGTAGGTTGAGTTAGGCTGATTTTCCCATAAAATTGGCATATGTATCTAATGTAGTCGCTTCAGAAAAACTAAAGCCAATTTTTACGGTTTTAATTTACTTATTACGTACACTTGAAGTAAATAGAAAATAGTTCACCCCTACCGAGTGGCATGTTGGTATCATCCATCTCCAGCGAGGGCTGATGGGATAGCTGTCCGACAGGTAGGTGGGAGGGGGCCGGGGAGACTCTGCCGCTCGGGGTGGTTCCCTTCAGCATCCGGCACACATCCCGCTTGAACTGCTCGATCTGCATGTTCCCCCGGGCGGCCTCCTTCCTCCGGTCCTCACGCAACTCAAACCTGGTGAATACGGAAGTTTTGAGTGACTTCGGTTGAAAGCTTTGTCATGTCTTGTTTTTTTTATTATTATTGCGAAACATGTAATCAGCAGACGTGGCCGGTGACGACACACTCAAGGTTTTTCAACTTATATTAACCCTCAACAGAACACCTTCCCGGACTGATTAATCTGTACACCTGGGGTCCGCGCGGACCCCAGAGCAGTTTTTTGCTAATTTTTAGAAATTATCAACATGCTACCAGCTCAATTGTTTTGCAAACTGATGTGGGAACCTCTGTGTCCACATTACATACAAAAATCATACATTTTGAACTTTTTCTATTTTTTGGTGAAGAAAAGAAGACAAGAAGAAATACCCGATTTTTAAACCCATTTCAGACTGAAGGGGCTTTTGAGGCCCAACTTTGATCTCAGATAGCGGCTAAACGGCTTGCGCTAGAAGTATCAAATTTGGAGACCTTTCCTAAAATGTCTCTGGAAAAAAGTTCATATTAGTTTTATACTAGTAAGTTGATGTTTTTTTTGTGTTGTCATGGCAACGGGTAGTTTTTTTGAAAATAGAAGTAATTTTGGTTTAAACATAAACATTTTCTGAGTTTTATATAAAATTACACTTCTTTTCCAACATTTATAACATCTTACATAATTAAATATAAGTTAAATCATTTGATATGCATAGAATATGCTAATTTGATGACGTCATTGGTCAAAATCCAATATGGCGGACTATATTATTAGCTCTGACGTCATATGACGTCATAATTACACCAAAGTTATTAAAATTTAATTCTATTACTACACCATTCTCTGAAAACTTGGTAGACATACGATGAATGCATAAAAACATATAAAAACGGAAATAAGGTAATGTATAAGAACGCCAGTGTATCCATTATGATCGAAAGCCGGCTGGGGTCCGCGCGGACCCCAAACGAAAATTAGATATAATTTTTTATAAATGGTAGAACGAGTTTCTGCACTGTATTGATAGACAACTTTGTGGGTG